AGTGAAACTCTACAGTGGGTCTTATGTACCATCAAGCTTTGTTCTGATTGTCCCAACAGTGACACTTCTACCTGTGAGTAACTGAGTTCAATTTGTTCTTAGAAGTATTTCTTCAGCCAAGCATGTCTAAAGCACAAGCACCTGCACAAAGATGCACCCTTTTAAAATTGCAAGTGTACAAATGAATGTTTGTGACTGAACTATTTAACAATAAATATTATGTAAAGACAAATCTAAATAATAATGCATGTTCTCAAGGGTTGCTGCTGAATAGGCAAAGAGCAAAATTATAAAGACAGTGCTAAATTATCTTTATTTTAGCTTGTTATTCTTTTGTGCTGTTGTCATGTGAGATAGTTTTAAAGCATATTCCTCCCCCAAAACTAGGGAGTATTTAGTATTAACCCATTTAATTTTAACCATTCTTTTAAGAATTAGTTTTAATCTGCAATTTCCAGGTAGCTCTTTTTAACTCCTTTAATGGATGAGAGCCTGTACACACACGGAATAGATTAATTCTTGGGACAGCAATATGCTTTTTTTTTTTTTGGATTTTAACAAATAACTTAACCTAGTAAAATTGTGTTCCCATTTGTAGATGATCTATCTGAAATCCTCTACACTCTCTTTTCAAGATTCAGGGCAGATTAACTCTCAGGAGAGCGCCATAGCAGGAGTTAACTGTGGTTAATTTCTTCTACCTTTTCCCATTAATGTTAACTTCAGGAAGCCTTTGGTCTGTACTGACAAATATTGTGATTTTCTATTAAACTAGGGCTGCACACTGCTCTTGACTTGCAGGGTATGTTAATGTCCCTGTAACATCTCCCTCTCTGCTCCGTCTGGCTTTTTAAATTAAAAACACTTTTTTTAAAAAAAGGAAGTTGGCATACTAAAAACAAAGCACCAATTTCTAGCTTCATCATTTTCAATGATGCCTCAGAATTCCAGGTGGGCCGCTTAACCTTTCTTACAGAATAAAAAGGACAGGCTGACTGCCACCCAGTGTTTTGCTTGGAAGTGTGCCTATCTCCCAGAAAAAGAGTAAAAGTAAATAGAATTGGGAATATCTGGAAAAGGAGATTGGGTCTAGAAGGAATAACAGGTAGCATTCTGACAAATTGATACCTAATAACTGATTATGCCCCTAATGTCAGCCATTTTGTGAATGGTCTAGCCACACCCACCACACATTTTGTGAATGCTCTGCAACATATTTTCAAAATTTCAAATAGTCTAAAAGTTTAAGGAGTTTTGAACTAAGAGTAAAAACTAATTGCCAAAGTCAGTACAGTTATTGAGTTGCCTGACTGATTTGTGAAAAATTGAATTACCTTTGAAATGTGGTAAGAATCCGGTTTGTAAACCGGGCTCAAGCTAACAGTGATTTTATGAAGCACGTCTTATACCAGTGTAGATACTGTGCTACCACTGTAAAATAGTGACGATATGGCAGGCTGACAGTTGACTGACTAGCTAGTAAGGAGGGGAAATTGGGCCATAGTATCAAAGTTGCCTTGCCAGCGTCATTTAGAATAACATGCTACTCTTGCTTATTTATTTTTTATTTATTATTTATTTTCAAAGGTCGCAACCACTTATGATTTGTTTATGGATGTGGTGTACTCTGACTCGTAGGATGGAGGTGTGGATGCATAATGGGAATTAATGACTCGCTGTCAGCTTTATTCTCCTGGTTCTTGGTACTTTCCCGTTCAGTGGTTCCTCAGTTTTAAGTATTTCTATTTGAGATTGATTAATTAGTGTTTCTGTATTTACCATTCCACTGACCCATAAACTACACACCTATACTGAAACTTGGATCTTAGATCTGATGTTATTTGGATCAGAGGTTGTGGACCACCAATTTTGATGATCTTTTGGATCTCTGCATCTAAGCTGATATTGTACTGAGTGGCTGTCCCAGCCCTTCTGAGCTGTCCTAGTATGTCATCAGACTGGGTAGCTGGCAGATTTCATTTTGCTTTGGTGTTTTTGATCTGGTGCAAAGGTGACATCTTACAGTGCAGGATTTCTTCTTGATTCCACATAACTTCTGATAAAATTTAGCGTCGCATCCAACTCTAAATTTGATGGAATTATTAGAATGGTATCTAATCTAATTAGAATGGAATCTGGAGAATTCATCAGAGTCCTTGAGAAATTTCCAGTTGATGCAACTGGTGCTTTCTTTGGTGGAGATGAGTCAGATAGTTGGCACTGTTGCTTGAAGGAACAAAAAAGTCTGTTCAGTTCTCAGTGATTATGATAAAGCAATGTTAAGAAATTCTCAGGAACCAGTGATGCTGCTAGTGGTGGCCCACTGTGATTTATTTGCTAGGTCATACAAGGACAGAGCTACTCTTATCCACTTTAACTTGGATGTTCTACAGTTGAATCAATGAACAGATGAATATAATTCATTTGTTGCAGTCTGAGGATATAGAAAAAATACTTTTTAGTGTAGTTTTTTTTGTAAGTACAATAAAACTTTGACCAGATTTCAGATTTAACAGACAAAACTTGACTTCAACATCATTTAGTGGACAAGGGCTGCTGAATTAGAATTTAACCCAGACAACTGACATGTTTTATGTAATTATGCAAATGATGTAAATTTACTCAGATGACTTAAATTCAGATTGAATGGACATGCTTCTCCCCAAATAGTCCGTTAAATCAAGGTTTTCTGTACTATACTCTTATCTTGCTTGTATTATATAACATGTTGCAGAAGATGATTGACCAGCTGAGTCCAAAAAGTTACTAGTTTCTACTTGTAAGAGAAGTGTGGTCGCAATACTCTCCTTAAAAAAAACCTAACTCTAGATCCTGTGGATTGAAATAAATATTGGATGGTGATAAATATCCCACTAATTGGGCAAGATACTAGAGTTTGATTTTATTGACTATAGTAGTCTTCTGGGATATGCTGTCTAATGAAGATTAGACATAATGCAATAATTCCCCACCTACTTGTAATGTAATGCTTGAAACCTGCTATATGGCCCATTGTTTTTATGTTATGGAGTTCATCAGAGGCCAGTTCTTCTGCCTTTTCATGGCCAGGCAAATACCCATCTGTTTTTCTAAACCTTTTAAAACATTTGCTGAATTTGGAATACTTTTTGAATTCATTACTGTTTTCTATTGGTTTGTTGTTTTGGTGTGTTTTTAATTATTTATGAAAATATATTACTGAAGGATGTGATCTAATTTTAAATAAATAAATAAATAGCATTTGTCAAGACAGGGAGGAGAAATCACACTCCTGAGGTCCTTAGCATGGATTCATCAGAAATGTTATGTTGGTACCAATCCTAAGGAGCGAAATTGTTTTTCCAATAGAAATGCAACAAAATTTGGCAAAGCATTTTCTGGCATGAATAGAAATTTTAGAAAGCACAATATACCTTTGTGAACTTAGGAATGTTGGTGTACATAATAGCTTTTCTGCTGCTCCTCTGCCTCCTTTAAGCTAGACTGAGATTTCAGCATAAATCAGGGCTGGGCAACCTATTTTGGCTTGAGGGCTGTACTTTCTGTTTGTGCCTCCCCAACCCCAAGCCAATAGTGGGTGCAACTGGTGAACTTGTGATGTTACAAAAGTGGGCAGGGCTGACATTTTCAGATTCTTTTTCTTCCATTTTGGGTGGTTTGGGGGGAAGTTAAAGTTCAAACCCAGAGTACAAGAAAATCAGCCTGTTTTTCAGCAGTTTTAAGGTAGTTTGGAATGTTTTAAGCCTATTCCAAGCTTAAGCACCCATTCTGCTCCTTAAAATCCCTAACTCCATCAAAAAAAATATAAATAAAGGAGACTTTCTGCCTACTCTGGGGAACGTTGGGGATTGGAGATGGGGTGCTGAGGCTGCAAACTGCCAAACCCTGTAATTGATCAGATAATAAGGAAAATCAGTAGAATAAGATATAAAAATCAGATCAGATATTTATTTACTTTGCTCATTCTTTCTTTCAATTTCTTGTTCAGCTTAACAGTAATAACCACTTATTAGTCAACTTATTATTCAATGTGTTGCTTTGCTTTTTGTCATTAAAAATTCATTTACAGCTTATATGTTATGCAACCTAGAAAAGCACCTTCTTAGATAGCAGGTAAGTTTGCAATATATTTTAGGGAGACTTTCAATTTTCCCATGTTCAAAGAATATTGTCCACTAGAATGGAAAGAAGATCTGGAAAATGTAGATGCTACGGTGTTCATGCAGTATACCTGTGGTATCCAATGAAGCTTTGGGTTGTAGTCTTAGATCTGATGAGTCCATTGAAATCTGTGGAGGTTGTGCAGCAGCTGTGCCTGGTTGATTGTGCCCAAATGTTTTATATGCAAGAACAGGACAGGTATATCTGCATATGAATCTGCATATGCATATTTAAAAAGTATATTGAATTGCAGTGGTAAATGTCTTGGAAGTCACCAGTTTGTCTGCTTGAATGTGGGGGATGTCTGGTACCCCAGAATAAGTAAGAGGCATTATTAGAAGGGGATGCCTAGCATTTGTGCTTTAAACACCTTTTTCCAGCAATGCTTAGGCAGTGAAGTTGATTACTATGCATGCTTCAGTCATATGTACTGTACATCTTTCAAGATTTTTCCACGTGTGTCACAGTAACAAATAGGTAAATTGTGGTAAAGGTTCATATTTAGAATAGATTTCTTTAAGACCATTTTTAGGTATTATACTATTAGTAACTATGCCTGGATGTTCACATCTAAAATCAGTATACCCACTTGGAATCTTATATGTATCCTGGACATCTCTGAGGGTAAATGCAGCTAGCAGTATAAGTTAGAAGATTCATCATCACTTCAGTTTTATGGTTTGGGAGAAACTCAATGGGTGCTTTTAACATGCCTTGTTAGAACCATTACTTGTGAAGTGGATATTAGTACATTTTAACATTGATTATTAATTTAGTAAGCTGTGTATGTTTTTAAGGATGCCTTTCTCATACAGAAATACTTTTCTTTCACTCAATAGTAGTGGAGAAAACCTCGCCTCCGCTGCCTGTAGAAGTTGGACCAGATGTCTCCACTTCAAGTGCTAGTCAAGTGATAGCACCAACTCAAGTTACAGGTATGATGCAAAAATAATCGGTGGTACACATTGGTGCATATTACAACAACCAATGGAATGTTATTACCACATCTTAGAAAGTACAGAGCAACAGAAGAAAAATAATCAGCCTAGAGGGTTCATTTTTAAGTGAACAGAATGCTGTTTGCAAATGCCTTCTTCTGGGCTTCAAAACATTGAAGGATTTTTGGGAGTGGGGGGAGATAAATTTTCCTGCTATTTCTTGCATTCTTGAGTGATTTCACAGGTTTATATATTATGCCTAGATCATTTGCAGTCATTCTATTTACCTGTGAGAAGTTTCAGGTTTGTTCTTTAAACTTATGCGTATCTACCAGTATAGTTTATTTTAATATTCTTCTCAAAGAATTGGGACTTGCATTGCAATGGAATATGTTCATTGGCACATTACCATAAATTACTCATTAAACATGCATGTAAGAAATGGTAGAGAAAGTGAACTTACCCTCATTCTGTCCTAAGAGCTCACAAAATCTCATTGTCCTCTAATGCCTAAGACATGCTTCTAAAGTAAACAACTGTACAATTATTTCCCAAATTTGATGTTTAATTGTTGTACGCTGCCCAGAGTCGCCTGTGGTGAGATGGCAACTATATGAATTGATTTAATAAATAAAATAAAATAAATTAGATGAAGTATAAAAATCACTCACTAGAAAATGAACTTAATTAAGGAGCATGTTCAGTAAAAGAAAAAAAAAAGCCCCTCTCACCCCTATGGGTGGTCTGTGTCTTCCTCAGTCTCAGGTCCTTTACCAGAGGCCTGGGAGTTTAAGGGTTCTGCGCAGTATCTTCGCTGTTCCTAGCACTGCACTCTTCTGGACAGAGAGCTCTGATGTTGTTCCTGAGATCTGTTGGAGCCACTCTCCCAGCTTAGGAGTCACAGCCCCGAATGCTCCTTCCACCACTGGGACCATGTTGGCCTGTACTTTCCACATCCTATCTAGTTCCTCCTTCAGGCCCTAGTACTTCTCCAGTTTCTCATACCCATTCTTCCTGATCTTGCTGTCACTTGGCACTGATATATCTATCACCATCACTGACTTCTGGTCCTTGTCTACTACTACAATGTCTGGTTGATTGGCCAGTATCTGCCTGTCCGTTTGAATCTGGAAGTTCCACAAGATCTTAGCCCTGTTATTCTCCACAACCTTCTGTGGAATCTCTCATCTGGATTTGGGAGGGTCTAACCAATACACTGTGCAGATAATCCTGTACACAATGCCAGCTACTTGGTTGTGTTGTTCAGTATATGTTGTTCCTGCCTGCATCTTACCCAGACACTATGTGTTGGACTGTCTCTGAGGACTCTGCCCAGTCTGCACCTTGGGTCCTGTCTAGTGTGGTAGACCTCCTGCTTCTATGGATCTGGTACTTAGTGCCTGTTCTTTTGCTGCCACGATCAGTGCCTCAGAGCTGTCTTTTAGTCCAGCCCTTTCCAGCCACTGGTAGGTACATAGTTAATGGTGTGTGTGTGTGTATGTGCCTTTGAGTGGTTTGGATCTTACATATTCTTAACAACCTGCCCATTCTCTAGTTATGAGGGCTTTTTCATGGCATCTTCAGTATAGACATTTCAAAAGCTTGGCTTTTTTTCAGCTGTAGATATTTTTTCTTCCAGATGTTTAGCCAAACCCAAATATCTTCCAACATGAAATGCATATGAAGAAGAATATAGTCAATGAGCTAGAGCAAAGTATGTTCAAAGCATTCAAAGCCACACATCCCAGTTTCACTGCAATAGGAATATCTTCCATTCTTGCCCAGAATTTCCCCCAGAAGTACCAAAAAAGCATAAGATTACTGGCTGAGGCAATGCTGTTAGGTTGCCATGATGAAGATTTGAATAGTTCTGTCAGGCAACATCCTTTCCCTTTGCCAGTAGCTGGAAGTAGGCACAGGAAGAAGGTCACAGGGCAAAATTCACAGGCACAATCCTCTACTGATATTGCAGTTTTGATTTGCAGAATCAGTGATTGATTGATGGATTGATTATGGCATAATACCATCATGTCTTAGTAGAAGACAGAAGTTCTTAGCTAGAACTTCTCCAGAATGGTCTGTCTCCAACCTGGTCAGTGAAGTCTTCCAACAGTGCACAATCATCCCTGTAATTGTGTCCATTCATCAATACATTATGTGTAAATGCAACAACAGGAAGGAAGGCCTTTGCAAGAGTTTATCTGGATGCTTATGTTATGTTCCACTTTGTTGTGGAATCATTTTTTATCAGCACCAATGTCGAATCACTGAATTGATCCTAATCAGTTGCAGTGTTTTTTTAATCTTTCTTTTAAAATTAATGATAATAGCAAAATTACTAAAATGCTTCAAATAGTTTGCTACAAGTATTTTTCCCTTCATTTAGAAATCAATGAGTGCACAGTAAACCCAAACATCTGTGGACCAGGACATTGTATTAACTTGCCCGTGGGATACACCTGCTTATGCTATGATGGATACAGGCTTAATGATCAACAAACAAAATGTTCTGGTAATTTTCATTCTATGTTCCCAGTTCCTAACATGATGCATGTGAGAAGGTCCTGAAAATATATTTATTTATTTCTGTGTTGTGGCTAGTGAGGAATCCCATTTGTTTCTTGAGTAACCACTGTAAAATCTCTCCAATTCCATAATTTTGGAATCCTAATAGAAATCTAAGCAATTTTATGATATATTTACTGGATAGATATTTGCAAGAAATTGACTCAATATTTAAACTCCTTATATAATCTCATATTAAATTTATATAAATAAAATAGAAAGAGCACTCTTCACCTCTCCTGGTTTCTAAGAGGTTGTACTAGCTGATTGCATATAATGCTTGATCCTCATATGCATAAATACATGCGTTCCATCTAAAAGAGCAGCAAATGTAGTTGATTTCTTCTCCGAGAAGCTTAATGCTCTGAAATTTGAAGCTGGTAAATATGTTTTTTAAATCAAATTCTATACAAAATCTTCATTTTTCATTATTATGGAAACACATGTGAGTATGTATTTCATTTCAGGAGCTGCTTGAGTATATTAGGGGGAGTGAAGTGATGGTAGTGACAGAGTACTGTTTTTTTGAGTCTCTATACATTTTTATTTCTTTAACAGATATTAATGAATGTACTCAGACTCCTCATCTCTGCTCCCTTGGGCGTTGTGAAAATACAGAAGGAAGCTTCCTGTGTATTTGCGAGGCAGGGTTCATGGCCAATGAACAAGGAACAGATTGTGTTGGTAACTACTGGGTTTATGAGGCACCTTCTCAATCCTTAAGGCTAATGATCAAGACCGTGAATTTGAAATATATTGGTGTCATTGGAAACAATTTAGATTGATTTAGGAAAGAATTTGATTGAATAGATATATTCCTAAAAAATACTGTACGATGCTATACCCCATACTATAGTGGTAGTTAATATCTGACCACAATTATTGAGAGGAAGTTATTGTGTACAATATAGATTTCAAATTACATATTTGGACAATTGTACTTCCTTGACAATATAATGTTGGTATAAGATCTGATGCCTCAAGCACAAGAATAGACAGAGTATGGGTTCTAAACAAAGTATTTTCTTCAGTAGACCCTGAAGTTAATATAAGTTCTAAATGTCAAGAACAATATCTACTATAAATATTGGTCCATTTGGGATATCTATATAATTCACTGGAATGGTTCTTGAGAATATATTTGTATGGGCATCTTCTTTCAACCTCTGGTTATTGATTTGGAGCTATACTATTCAGGATAATACCAGCCATCAGATATACCCCCAGATACCAATAATCAAAATTAAATTTACTGGGGCAAGTTGTTTTGAACACTGATCAAGGACTTGCCAGAAATTACAGTACAGATTATCTGCATCTAACATGATGATTTTACATGATAGGCCTGCAACAGCTATCTGCCCCAGTGACCATGGTTTAGATACCCTGTATAAAACAACTAAATTGGAATATTTCTTTCATCCTGTCTCCACCAAGACACAGTCACTTTTAAAAATGGATGCCTATAAGGGACATTCATATAGAAGACATATGTTGATGTAACAAGACTCGACTATTCTTTTTTCCCTTATTTTAACATTTTCTTCCCTCACAAGAATGGTCCAGTCTTTTTGAATGAAAGTCATTTCTCTGTCTGATGATATTATTTCTATGTGTCTGTGTGTGTATAGTAACACTGAAGTAACTAAATACCATTTAAAAACAATAATTTACATAGAAGTTACAACCACATCTAAATTTTATGAGTTTTAACCCCAACAGAACTGGAAGGCACCAGGTTCAGGAAAGCTAGCATTTCTGTATGACACCCATGGAGAAACAAAACGGGATAATGAGAAATATTGAAATAATTATAGATTACATATGAGCAACATAATCAACAATATTTGATTTAGCAAAACTGATTCATTATTTTAAAGAACAGAATCTTCCATCAGGTTTAAAAAAAAAAAAAGATCTAGAGTCAATTTTATTGTTTATAAAAATGGTAATTTCTCCGATCAGTCTCATATAGGAACTATGCTGAGAGAGAGAGAGAGAGAGAGAGAGAGAGAGAGAGAGAGAGAGAGAGAGAAGATGTAGCTTAATGGAACATCATATCCTTGGTATATGAAAGTCCCAAATGCACTGCGTGATATTTCCAGATAGGATGGAAAAATCTCTTGTCTGAAACCCTGAAGAGTTACTGGGATCTATATACATTATTGAGGTTGATAGTCCAAAGATCTGACTAAGTACTGCATAGGGCATTTCTCATGGACCTCAGTCATGGCAACTTCTGTTGATACCAAAGCAGCAAAAATTGCTTTTACAAATTGTGGATGCTGCAGCTAAGACCATGAGTTGCAGCTAATACATTATGATATTTATGCAAGGACTCAGCTCTTCTGAATGAAAAAATTAAAATTTAAGGTAATCCATGAATTTAGTATTCTCTCTCTGTGTTTGTGTCTGTCCATCAATCTCAATCAATCTCTCTCTGTGTGCTGTATTTTTTACTTAATTTTTGTATTAATGTTGTTATAAATTGGGTTTTTAGATGTTGATGAATGTGCCAGGCCTGATGCCTGTGGAGAAGGTCTCTGTGTAAACACTATTGGTTCATATAAATGTGAATATTGTGACAAGGGATTCCAGATGAACAGAAGAGGCCAGTGTGAAGGTGGGTTTTTAATGTCCCCTAAACACATTTCTTGAACATTTATTCACATAGCTTTAACTGTGTTATAATTCTTTAGGGGAAAAAAATCAAGGAAAATTGAACTCTAACCCTAACGAAACATGCATTATGACATCATAATGCTGACTCTACCCCTTACCTACTTGCCTGCAACATTTCAATGCAAGTACAAAAAGGATTGAATTTGCATTGCAGCACATTTCATCACTTACTTCCCTTCAGCTGACAAACATATAGGCCATGTGCTTTTGAGAATAGCACAAGCAAAACAGCCCTTACCTCCCCTTTCCACCTGCTAGCCCATAAGGATGCTATAGTCCATATCAGAATGCTCCTACGCCCTCAGTTTTCCTTTCCCTTTTTCCTGGGGATACTTCAAAATAAAGTATTAGGACGTAGCTACCTGCCATTTTTACTTTTGAAGAATGTTTCTGGGGCCAATTCTTTCAAGGTGATTCTGGAGCCAGCCTTCTTTTTGCAAGCATGCCGATTTTCCAGGTTCTTCTTTTTTTTTTTTTTTTTGTCCAATCTATTAAAATTCTGGACAGGCTGAGAGCCTAGTGGACAATATGAGACACATCTATAAAATCAAGTTGCAGATCTTCCAGAATCAGCATGGAAGGCTACCAGCAATATCAGTAGCCTCAGCACTTCAGAGGACTGATATCTGTGGTATGGGACAGATTTCACTTACCATATAAACTCCTCAGTTTCAAAACCATAAACAATTGAATGGCTTCGCCTTAGAAACCACATTAACTTTTTAACTTGTTAATCTGCTGTCCTGAAATTGTTTATAAAGCTGCTATTTCCAATAAAGTTGATCACTTTAGGTTTATGAAATAGCAAGAATTACATACCAAAAAATCCATTTGTAGTTTGGAACAGAACATTGGCAGAAAAAATCAGTTTCATAGAACAAATATCTGACCTAAAAACATGTGAAATTGGTTTTTGGCATTAATTTACCTGGATTTGAAAAGCAAATCAATGTAAACTTACTTGTAACATTAAAATGAAGTCTTCATATTTTCATTGTTCTTGTCTACATAATTTTCTATCAAAGAATGTATTAATCCTTTAAGCCCATCATTTCTAGTTCTTGCCGTTACTTGTTGCTCACAGTTCAAATACAGCTTTAAATACGGATTTCAAAATGTGTTGTGTCTATATGGTGTGGATATGAAGGTTATGGAAATTTTGCCATTACATTTGTAATAGGAGAAACAGATAGCTGGGCACCAAGAAATAGACTTAAACAGCTTACAGCTTTATTGGAGGTGTATAACGTATGCATTAAATAATTAATCAATGAGGATATGGTTTGGCCTCTCCCTATTAATTGCTTGGGAAGATTGACATGGGAAGTCAAGCCTTTGGTCAAGCTAGAGTTCTACTGGGTTGATGATAGCCCATTCTTCTAGCAGTAAGTTGCAGGTATGAAGTTATCATCCATATTCTCTGCCTATAGCTTTGCTTGGAATTACCTGCCTTCTCAGTCCTAGGTAGTAATCACTTGTGCCTTATTGGTGCTTCTCATTCATGACATTCACCACTGTCCTTCTTACATTTGTTCTCCAAATGTATGTAATTGTATAAACCTCCTAGTTGCAAGGTAAGTTATACTTTGTACAAAAATCTTAGTGGAGATGAGTTGTGGGAGATGCAAGTAGGGTTTAATTGATAAGGCAATAGTTTAGTACTCATAAAACAACTATGCATTATTTACTATAGCAAATTGCCAATACAGCAGTTTAGACTCAAGATTTTTTGTGATACAGACTAAAAAAGCCTGGGAGGGACCAAGGGCAAAATGCTGCTTGCATTCAGAATAGGAAATTTGTAAGCATAATATTGCTTAGTCCAAGAATGTATTTATGGGCATCTTTATTTCTTATTCTCATGTAATAATTAATCTCAATAACTCTCTTTTTGTTGCCTTAAGAAATTAAAATCTTACATATAGTAAGAAGCAAATATATGTATCAATGGAAATAAATCCAACATGAATTTATTTACTGCCCTTTTTCCAAGGAAGTTAAAGCAGAATCTTTATTCTTTCAGGGTCTGTGGGAATTAAGTTAAGAAATAGTGACTCACCTGTGACCACCTTGAAAATTGTATAGATTAATGGAGGTTGAATTCTAGTTTTTAAGCACTAAAAGTGTGCAAATTGAATGTAAACTGTTTTGAAGATGAAACGCCTGGTTTTGAATTTGGAACACCCTGTTTCAAATGCTAAATGGGTACTTTAAATTGTGAAATGAGCTTGAAAAAGAGTGTTTGCGATCAAGATGGAGCATTTCAAATTCAAAATGGTATGTTTTGAATTTCACTCAGTTCAAATTCAAAATGTTTTGCACTTCCTACAAGCTGCCAAATATAGCATATTTAATACTACATAATATATGTCAATGGACTTATGGTAATTTATATTACTTAAGAATCTGGTCTATAGCACCCAGCTTTGATACCATCCTAAATACTATTATTGCTTTAATATAAATTTATTCTTTATTTACTATTAAAACTTCACTGATGTTTTGTTTTTATAGACATTGATGAATGCTCAGTGCCACATACATGTCCAGATGCAGAGTGCATTAATGCTCCTGGTTCTTACCAATGTGTCCCTTGTAGAGATGGATTCAGAGCATGGAATGGAAAGTGTCATGGTATATGTCTTCTTGGATTTTTTTTTCACTAAAATCCTATTGAAATCAGTATAAAAAGTGCACATACCTCAGTTTATGAAAGACATTTTTGTGCATATTTCTCTAGTTATAGGCATTTTTTGCTATTATTTGCATTTTGGCTAGACTGATTTTCCTGAGGTTGGTTGGTTGTTTGTTTATATTTTTTCCCTAGCATGCTGGGTTTTATGCACATTTTTGGATTGTGAACTATATCACAAAATTATGAAAAGAATAGACTTTAGTAAGTAGCTTCAAGTGGTTCAAATATAGGCTTGGAAAATGCAGGTTGGTAAGTTCATACAAACATTTACACCAGACAAATTTATCCATTATCCCTGGTTAGCATTCTCAGACTGGCCTAGACTTGGATCTCTGTTTTCATAACAAATTTAGTGGATCTGATGCCAATGATAATTAAGAGTAAAGTTTACCCCAAAGGGGAATATTAAAGAATTCCATTTTATAAGCCCTATTGAAAGACTTAATATTAAGATAAAGACTTGGAAAATGTCATGCTGAATATCTTTAATATCTTTAAATAATGCTTTTTAACACTTTAGTTCTTTGGCAGCAGTTTCACAGCATGATATTTTAAATCACTTTTAAGTCACCTGGATTTTTTTGCTTCCTAGTTGCCTATATTAATTTTTCTTCCTTATTCAGGATTTTCCTGTTCTTAAGGTAGTGATTGTGCAATGCATAAGCTATTAGCAAATGATGAGGAAAAGCATTATTTCTTGGTTAAAATTCCAGAATCCATAGCCTGCTCCTACATATTCTCTTTTCCTGTTCATTTTAGTGGTGAATTCAGCTTTGCAAATCCATTCCTTTGCATTTCTGCTAAAATGGGATGCAGTCAGGAACTGCATTTATTTATTTATTTTCTGTCCTTCATTTTAGTAAAATTTTTAACAATCTTGAAATAACATAATCAAAACAAAGGAAAAAAAAGACAGTTGCAATAATAATAAGCACAGAACACAAAAATAAAAATAGAAACAAGCAACAACTTTTATGGTTTAATCTTTAAATAACTTTAAAAGAGAAATTATCTTCTATAACATTCAGCAACCAAAGATCACAAAATGCACTAGAAGTGCAATGAGAGCAGCCTAATGAAAATATTCCAGGTTTTCAGTGAAATGCATTTGGAAAGTTTGGAGTTGGGAAATTTGGATGAAATGAAGTCTGTTTACTTTTCTGGTGTCTAAATACATTGGTGAACAAAGTAGGATGTATGTATGTATGGGAAGGATAGCTGCTCCATTATTCCTGTGCCTGTGCATAAGCCTCTAATAGTTTGCGCATTGACAGGTCAACATCTAACGTTTGATGCAGCATGTTGTCAAAGAACTTAGAATAAATCATCACAGGAGTCAGGACCTATTATATAGTCAGTTCTCCTACTTGTCTTGCTACATGTTCATGTCAGACCTCAGAATCGGGGCTTCAATAAAAGTCTGGAGAAGAAGGCTAGTTTGCCTGGCAGATGACTAGATCTTTAGTGCATAAAGGATTAAATGCAGGACAGTCTTGCATAGATTATGTCTGCATCTCGGAATGAGTTTAAATTTTTGGAAATCTCAGGCCGCTGTTAACAATAAACAGCCTGCTTCTCTTCCTCATCTTTTATAATAACCAGACAGCAAGACATAACAAAATAAATTATGTGGCATTTTTGCATTCTGAATTTCCCTGATCCTGCTCAGTTTCATCTGATGTGCACTTTCACCAGGTCATTTAGTTGTCATGCCACTGTTTATCCAAGAGTGGAGGAGGAAACCTATGGTTGATGCTTTTGGCATTGGCCATATGTCTCTAAAAACATCTATGCTTGGCATCACTCAATGATAAATTAAATCCAGAGAGTAATTCTTTATTTACCAAGGAAATATATTCTAACCTTTGACTCCTTTCCACACCTATTTCACTTCAAGCTTTCCATAGCTCTATCATAGGCTTATACATTAGAGTAAAAGAACAATAATATTTCAAGAGCTTGGCCTAGCTCTTTCCGTCTGGTTACATGAACAATATTATCTATCTATCACAAACATTGTTAGACTTTTCATGACTCAAGGCAGTTCATGGAATAGAAAAATAAGACATCATAACTCATTATCAGCCCAGGTCTGCTGATATTTTCACTGCTTTGTGAAATGCAAGCAAGGACAGGGGCTTCCTATGTTTGAAAGGGCAAGCTATTCTTCCTAGTCCCTACCTCTAGACTTTATGTGGGGTGGGGACCTGATTCTGCTTGGGAGAGACAAACCTGAAAGTTCATGGGGGCCAAGCCATGCAGAGCTTTACATTTTAAAACAGCACCCTGAATTTAGCATGGAAGCTTTTGGTTATCCATGCAGGTTTAACACTCTACTCCTATATTGTTTTATAAGTTGAAAAAAATATCTGTGCTTTATTTTTTTTATAAAGCTATCCTTTATTTTCTTTAGGATGTATATCATTGAATAAGGTAGCTAGAACATTTGAGAAATTGTTTTCTGAAAAAAATCCAACTAAAAGAAATTACATTTTCCGGTATTGTCTAGAATCCTACCGCGTGGCTTTTAGCGTCTGGCTGCAGGGAGAGAGAGATAATTTTATTACGTTGGCACCGGCTCTGGCTTTTGGCATCTTATCCTATGATGTCTGCTTTCAAAGCAAAAAGGGACATTAGAAAATGACAACCAGAGCAGACAGGCATTTCTTGGTACAGTCTTTCATTGTGCTAGTATTGTTGGCAAACCCTGAGGGGCTTATTCAGCATTTTCTGTGATCTTAAGCAGACACACTTTTATAGTCTTTCTGCACTCCCACCTATTGATATACTTTCATCCACTATAAAACCTTACTTTCCCCCTCTCCTCACAACAAAACAAAAAACAAAAATTGCATAAAGTTTAAATATCAGGGACATTTTGGAAAAAAAAAAATCCTGAAAAACTGATTCGGTCTTACATCAACGGGGGTAGGGGGGTGGATTTATGCCTAGAACAATTTGGAGTTCTTTCTGCTGGCTTTGAATCCAGTATCTGAAATTCCAATGTACACCTTTTGTTTTTTGTAGCAGAGACTATTTAAAATGGCCTCCACTGGCTGGTTTCATGGATTTCCTTGCTTGCTTTCACTTGGAGCACTTAGCCAGAAAAGAGACATTGACAATTGCAGAGTCATTTAATTGGTTTCTACAGGAGTAAGCATAGTGGTTTAAGCAGCATTCTTCAACTCAACATGGATGGGAATTATGGGAGTTGCATTTAACACATACAAAATGTGTCATGTTTTCAGGTGCAACAGAGACTGCTCCTAATCTGCCTTTCTTATGTTTGCCCAACACAAAACAAATACTACTTAATGAGTAACATCAGTAGTGCTATGTGACCCATTTCTCAAGATAGCCAAAGCACCCACTTAAACCCATTCCTTAAAGTATTGTGGTGCTACATCCTCTTGAAGGCTCAGCATTGTCATGTCAAGGCCCTTCCTGTGTCATCAGAGCATAGAGTTCATTTCCACCAGAATTACTAGCCGGGTAAAGCTAACCACTGGTTGAAGCAGAGGCTGGAGAAGAGCATGAAGTATGCTTGATGAAATGCCTCTCCAAATAATTTGCACCAACTAAGTTTTTATTCATTTTTAAATACTTGCACTTGCAAATATACATCATAGTACATACATATCTTAGATTCAGAGAAGGGAATAAGGATAATCAGAGAATTAGAAAGTTGGAGCTATAAGAAGAGACTGAAGCAACTGCAGCCTTGAGAAGAGATATTTAAGGGGGAATATGATACCTTTCTTCAAAAATGTGAAAGAATGAACAAAAGAAGGCCAAGACTGTTCTCTATTATCCCCGCATGCAAGACATTGAATAATAGTTTTAAGTTATTGGAAGGCAGATTGCAGTTGAATATTAAGAAAACAATTTTAAAAAAAGTTTGACAATAAAAGCAATTACAAGAGACATGATACATTCCCTTTCACTAAATATACTGAACCAGAGCTGATACCCATCTATCAAAGATGGCTCATTTGGACTCCTGCATGTGCCAGGAGTTGGACTTGATGGTGCAATTAACTCTTTTCTAACTCTTTTAAAAAATCATGCATAAAAATAAGCAACAGATAAATGGGAATTAACAGATTCATCCATCCCTAGTGGGGATGCAAAAGCAAAATGATGAAGAGTATAAAAGGAAGCTTCGCTAAGGGTTGCATTGAAAGAGGTTAATACAGGTAGTCCTCGACTTACAACCATTTGTTTAACGGCCATTTGAAATTATGACGGCACTAAAAAAAATGACTTACAACCAGTCCTCACACTTACAACCATTGCAGCATCCCCCTGGTCACGTGATCAAAATTCGGGCGCGTGGCAACTGGCATGTATTTATGATGGTTGCAGCATCCTGGAGTCATGTGATTGCCATTTGCGATCTTCCCAGGGGGCTTCCGACAAGCAATCAATGGGGGAAGCCGGATTTGCTTAATGACCACAATAAAAAAGGTCATAAAATCTGGCATGACTCACTTAATGACCACATCACTTAGCAACAGAAGTTCTGGTCCCAATTGTGGTTGTAAGTCAAGGACTACCTGTAACAATTTCTTGACATTCTGTGGAAATTGTTTGCATCATTTTAAGTAAACAAGCAATGTTTAAATATATCTTTTGTATTCACAGATATAAATGAATGTCAATATAGCAGTCTCTGCATAAATGGCCAGTGTGAAAACCTTGAGGGATCTTTCAGATGCCTTTGTAGCCAAGGTTATCAACTCTCCCCAGCAGGAGATCAGTGTGAAGGTAGAAGCATGACTAATACTTACATGATTTACTTAATGGGAAGAAAACTATTTATTAAGCACGGTCATCCTTGTTTCGGGTAGCAAGCTATTCCAAAGAAGGAGAACTACTATAGAAAACAGCCACCGTCAGGTCCGTTCCTCCCCCCCCCCCCCGTCCCCCCATGCCACCTAGTAGGAAGGGATCCTTAGCAGGCACTCACTAATTGATTGAATAGTATAGGCAGAAACTATTGGGGGAAGGCACTTTCTAAAAGACCCAGGCTCTGAGCCATATTGGGCTCTGTAGGTAGTGGCCAGCACCTTCTGGTAACCAGTGTAGCTCCTGCAGCAGAGGTGTAACAATGTAAAAACCAATGTGAAACAATGTACCAATAAAAACAATGTAAAAACCACCCAGAAGTTTCTGGTTGGTTTTCAAAAGCAGCCTCATGTAGAGCAGATTACAGTAATCTAATCTAGAGTTGACTGGAGTGTGAGCATCATCAGTGCTGCTTGTTCCAGAGAAGGCTGTAGATAGGCAAAAGCCCTCCTGGCTACAGTCTCCACCTGCTCTTTCTAGGGGAGTGCAACCCATCAAGAATCAAAGATGGCACAGTCCTAGGGTCAGCCTCTCATTCAGTAGCCACTCCATCTTGTTTAAGTGGAGCCCATTTTTCCCCATCCAGACTTTGACAGCCTCCAAACACTGCATCATGACTTCCATTGTATCTCTCACGTTCAGGGTGGAGATGTGTAACTGAGTACCATCTGCATATTGATCATACCTCACCCCAAACCAAACTCTTTGGTGGTTGTATGTAAATTTTAAACAAAATTGAGGAAAGGATTAAACCCTGAGGCACTCCATAACAAAGGACCCATGGGTCTGACTTTTCCATCCCACAACCACTATCTGGACCTGCCTGCCTACATAGGAGTGGAACCACCATAACACTGTGCCCTCAACTCCCAGGCCTTCCTGGCAGTCCAGAAGGATACTGTAGTCTACAGTATTGAAATTCACTGAAAGATCTAAGGGGGCAAGAACGGTCTTACCATCTGCATCCAAGTCCTGCCAAAGGTCATCCATGAGTGCAACCAATTCAGTTTGTGTCCCATGCCCAGGTTTGAACCTGGACTGCAATGGGTCTAGGTAATCCATATCCTCTCTGACGCTCTGCAACTGCAGACCCACTAACTTCCCCAGGAAGATAAGGTTAAAGATAGGACAGAAGTTGTTTAGTTCTCTTGGATCCAGGTCTGTTTTCTTGAGAAGCAGATGAAGCAGTGCTTTTTTAAAGGCCTCTGGCATCTTCCTCTTCCTCAAAGAAGGAGAATAACCACATCTAGTTCCCAGTCCCTCTCTAGCTGCTTTTATCAATCCACAGGTAGCAAAGCTAAGGTTGCAAAGGACTCTATCCACTTGGGATTCACAGGTTTAAAAAACTCCCAGGTAACTCCACAAGACATTACTTCTGTCATCTCCATAGATTCTGTCCCTCTGCCTCTCAACTCAGAGTGAATGTGAGCAATTTCGTTTGTGGAATGAATTCACAACTGGCTGTTATGCTTGATGTGTCAGCAGCACCATCCTGTAGCAACATATGTTTTTCTGCTTTTTAAATGACTTTTAAATGACTTTTCCTGCTGAAATCCAGATGTTGGCATAGCTGACCATCCTTAAATTATGGAAAGGAAAAAGTTATTGTAAGCTCTTGAGTGAGCAGCAGTTGAATATGATTGGAGTCAATTTCGATAGAAAATCATAGTAATATTGTATATCAGATCCATCCATCCAATTTCTCCCATTGGCAACCTGCCAGTATCATAACATGGGTAATTAATACAGAAAAGACAACTTACTCTACCAAGCAGCAATTCTGAAACTGCTAATAAACCTAATTTGTTTTGACCCAATTCTTAATACTCTCTGCAAATATAAATTCATGAACATATTTTAAAACTTTTAAATAGAGGTGGGTAGCAGAGTTTAAACCTAAATGTTTATTGTTTATTGATCATTTGCAGATGTAGATGAATGTCAGCAGCAGCAGCAGCTGTGCATAAATGGACAATGCAGAAATGTAGCTGGATCTTACAGATGTATTTGTGACCAAGGCTACCAGTTGTCACCTGCAAGAGATTATTGTGAAGGTATAATGTAGCTTTCATTAGCATGTTTTCATTAACAATTCAGCCAAATGCTAGTCTGTGAATTACAATTTTCACCCTGTATATATAACTGTGGCAAGATATGAAATGATATCATTCAATATGAAACACTCTTCCTAACAACAGTATTACTTAGAATCATAGACTTATGATCAAGGGGAGTGGAGGCATTTGTAGGCTGCCTAGTCCAAACTCTTGCTGGGGACAGAAGATAGCTTCCCACACCCTAATTAATGACTTCAAGAAATGGTCACAGGAAAACAAATCTTGCTGTTTGGGGTTACCATGGCCTATCTGCAGGATAACATTTGTGTAACAAATGCAGAATTATTTCATTCTTGTTAGATGTAGTTTGCTGATCTTCCTTCTCAATTTCTATGGTGGGTGTTTTTGGAACATCACAGCACAATATTTTGAACTTTGGGAAAGTCAGTGATCCTCCAATTAGTGCATTCATTGCGCTAGTGATTGTAACAGATTCACTTTCATAGGCATCTATTTTTTATGATACATTGGACTCTAGTGATGCGTCCACCCACATTTGTATCATATTTTGTTAGTCTTCAATTGATTAAAGTACAAAAACTTATAACTCAGTAACCAAAACAAATATTCTTAGAAAATCTTGCCTGGTTCAAATGTAGTATTGCTAGCCAGTGATCAATTGCTAAAAAAAAAAAAAACATAAACAGCTTGCAATTCATGAAATCTGAGTTCTTGTATGACTTAGATTTGTATTAGAAGAGAAATGGTTACAGCATTTAACAGCTGTGTGGAACATAGAAATTCGAAAGCTTTCTTTTCTGTGGAAATGCAATTATGGGAATGCTTTCCTTGTTGACATTCCATCTGTCAGACATGTTACATATGGCCTCTGTTTAGTAATTTTTTTCTGCTGGTGATTATATATATTATATATATGGGGGTGTCTTGTCTCTAATTTATATTTACTAAATTAAAAAAGGTTCACCCAGAATAAAAAGACACTTGAGCCAGTCTGAGTTTTTCCTCCTATTATATTCTTATTTAAACTTTGTTGTCTACCAACTGTGGTTTCCAAATAATCTGAAGCAATCTTTGAAATACTTGGGGGAAAAAGCTATATGTAAGTCATAGTTTTTACACTTTTGCTGGTATTCTTATAGCCATGTTCATATTAATATAACCCTTAACAAATGAATTACCATTTACTTCCCCTTCATTTCTAATTATTAGACACAGTCAAGTAAAACAACTATAGGATTACAAGGGATCACCATCATTATAATATATTTAGTATCTGAATTTCTGAACATGAACTTCCATCACATGTATGTTAAATCTGTTCTTTCATAATTATGTCACCCGTAATTATGAGTGGTCTGTGGGTAAAGCATCTACATTCTCCACAGTAATTTTCCATTAGACAAATCATAATAGCACCTCATACTTCGGCTTCCATTTCATTATCTAGAACTATGTTCTGCCAAACATGAAATTATTTTTTATTTTGTCATAGCTTCTATAAAAATGATATGAGAATCTCTCTGTTTATTATAAAAACATTGTATCTCATTTTTAAAAGGATTTTACCACTGTTTTATATAATTTAGATAACCTACTACATTTCTTAGCATTATTTGAAGGGTAGATCAATATTTTGCTGACATTATGGTACCCAAAGAACTACTTTTTAACTGATTCACTTAATCATTCTTATATCTCTGATTTTTCTATAGAGAGGTGCTGTTAGTTAAGTATCTTCTAAAACTGTCTGTCTGAAATTGGATTTGTTTCAGATATTAATGAATGCCAAGAAGACAAGAATGTTTGTCGTGGGGGAAACTGTATTAATACGAAAGGTTCTTATGAGTGTACTTGTCCAGAGGGCTTCCAGTTAATACCCCCTAGAGGCTGTCAAGGTATAGTATCGCTAAAAGATTTCTATTTTTTTTTTAAATGCTAAGAAACATAATTTTGTATGTTTTAAATTATTGTATTATTATTTTTTAAAGACTGAAAAGTATGGTTGCTCCAGTCATTGTAGCATTTGCCAAGCGCTTCCCTGGAATTCACAATTCTTTTAAGAGAATCATTCCACAAGTGCAAACATTTACCACTTTCTAAATCTCCCATTTTTATCCTTGTACAATTATCAAATTCAGTACATTCCTTTCTTTCACATAAGTTTCTACATAATATGTATGTTTACTGATAGAAGTTTTCCAGAAAAATTTGAACTGAAAAAAAATTGTTATGCTAATGAGTATGATTCCAATCACAGGTACTCCCCAGGTTAAGAACACCTGGTTTATGGACAACTCATAGTTAAGAACAGGGCCTATTGTAGCAAAATTTGAGTTAAATACACAATGATTCTGGTTAAATACACAATGGTTCAGGTTAATTACACAATACTACTTATACAGTATTATACAATAATACTGTTCCAGCTTACATATAAATTCGACTTAAGGACAGACCTTGGAATGGAACTCATTTTTAAACTGGGGACTACCTGTAGTACATTCATCTTAGTATCCATCATCTGCACAAATAGTTGGGCAATGTTATTTGATGTGGAGGAAGGAGAGCATGAAATGCCTGCTTCTCAACGTTATAGAGTAATTACCTTGAAAAGCAAGCATACAGTGCTAAAACTACAAAACTATCCTTTACCATAGCCAAAAGGCTGAGAAACTGTCAAAATTGTCTGAAGTAGAAAAAATTGGTCCCCGGAAATTTTCTGTCCCACTTATGTAGGTTTTACTAGCATTTACCAGCAAGTGCTGGAGTAAGCAAGTTCTTGAGAATAGTGGGCATAATTGTAATTTTGAGAACATGTACGTACACTCACAAAACAGCTATCTTTCACGAGTGTTTCAGAAACCAAATCTGGAGGAGACCTCTTCTTCTCTAGCCCCTTAGAAAGATATCCCCCATCATTTTTGTTTTTTTTTTTAATAAGAAAATAAGTAGATTTTGAAGCACTGGGTTGCAAATATATTCCATTTTCATTTTCTAAAAAGTCTTTATGGCTTATGTGAGACCCAGGGGTATTTGCATAAATAAAGATGATGTTAAAGGCTGGCATTTTCCTTGGTAGAATGCCAGTCCTGATTTAATTATTTAATTAAAATAATACTTTAAAAAATGATGTCAAGTAGTGAAAGGAACCTTATAAAGGCAAGAGAAGTGTGTATTGAGCCAGTGAACACCATAAATAGTGCAATACAATCTCCTGTATTCTTCAGCTGACATTATGCTAGGAACAAGCATCATCAAGAACTCACTGTCTAAAGATCAGTATCTTTGTGGACTTACTTACATTTTATATTTGTGTTATTGTTTATAGTCTCTAAGAAAGATCTGCTATAAGATGCACGACTGCAGTCTTTTTGTATTCAGCCAGCCTATTTTTTTAGTACCGGAGTAGGTTGTTATACTTCCCTTCAAGAACAGATCAAACATTAATTTGCTAGGTTGGTGGGAAGGAGAAAAATAATCCCATTCCACTATTGAAAGCTAGCTAGTATGACACAGTTATCAATCTTGGAATTTTTATTATCTGTTAGCAAAGACTTTCTGTCTTGGAGTTTCCCATATCTGAGTATTTCAGAAATAGTAGCAGTGGTGCTATATTAAATATTATTGATCATTTTAGAAGTACAGGGTTCATATTAAAGTAAGTTTCTTTGATCTCTGTTTTTATGTTCCCTCCAGATATCGATGAATGTGCAGGATCCAACCTCTGTTCATCCCATGGGAAATGTTTAAATACTGAGGGCTCTTTCCACTGTATTTGTGAGCAGGGTTTTATGGTTTCTAGAGATGGCCAAACATGTGAAGGTGAAAATGAGTTTGATAGAGCTCTGATTCTTACATCCAATAATAGTTTTCATTCTTTCTCTACAAAGGCCCTCATATAATTCCATGATCTACAAGGTTGAGAGAAGAAAATGTTTCACTGTCCCAGACACGAAAAAGATTTGGATCAATTAACATCAGCACAATGGAATTCTTTGAGTTTTCTTAGAAGATGTAAGGCTTATATCTAGCAAGGTGTCAAGCAGTGGTTTCCAGGCTAGAGAGAACCATTTCATCAACTTGTATGAGCTGCCAAAGGGCGTCAAATGAACCACCACATATCTCATCACACAGAAATATAGACCCATATGAGGCCTTTGATTTTTTTTCACTCAGTGGGGCAGATCATCTGTGTGTATGTGGCTTTATTCTTCTCTGCACTAAACAGTCAAATCTAGCCAAATTGTATAAGCTACTGCTGAGTAAGCTTCTCCTTGAATAAGGGATTATGGTTTGGACAGCTAAGTTTTACTACCAAGTCTAGGGTGAGGCCCAACAGGAGGAAAAGAATGAGATTGTTCTGCCTTCCTATTAAGCCAGGTTAATACCATCTCCTTTTCATCTATATTAAGGGGCAAATGGAAAACCAAATTTAAAATGAAGATGAAAGTATGGTTCATATTTTGAACATAGAGTGGTAGCTCTGCAACAGTTTAATTCCCAACATAAGCAGGCACTTATCTCCAGGTGTCTTTTTTCTGTTCAGTTCGGCTCAGTATTATGTCCACTAATTTCAGTAGATATACAGTATTATGAGAGCCATTGTAGTATGGTAGTTAAGGTTACAGGCATGGATTGGGAAGACCTACTTTTAACTGTCCATCAACCATGCAGGTCATGGGGTGACTTTGGGTTCATTATTTATTTGTTTGTTTATTTGATTTATATAGCCACCCATCTCACATAACGTGATTCTGGGCAGCTTACAAAATTAAAACATAAACAATACCAATATCATTCTCTTTCAGCCCAACTCATCTCACAGGGCTATTGTTAGGAGGAGGCTGCCTTGCTCTTAGAGGAAAGGCAGAAATAACAACAACAACAATAACAATTTGCTTTTTTCAGATATAGATGAATGTGCCAACAGCACTATATGTGGTGATCATGGTTTCTGTGAAAATTCTGCTGGCTCCTACCGCTGTCTTTGTTATCAGGGATATCAGTATCTACAGGATGGGCAGGGCTGTGTGGGTAAGTTGTTATATTTTAATTATTTTTCCTTAACAAATCAATTTTCATGGAAAATCTAAGTTTCCTATTATTTTTATTACATGCAGAAATAAGGAATGCTCTGTAGCTATTTAAGAAGAACATCATTTTAAGATTCAGTTGGATCATAAGCAGACACACCCATTATTTTACCTTTTTAGAATCTTTTTGTAAGAACATCAGGCTGTTCATAAATCTTGTTAATATTATTGGCATAATTTAATAGATTTTGAAAGTTTTGAAATATCTGTTTGGGCTCTTGGCTCTATGGCTGTAATTTCGCTACTAGAAGACAGTCTGCCAGGTGGGATAGCCACCTCCTTTGGCAGAATAATGGAACAAATGTTAGTCTTCCCTGTAGCTCCCAGGACAAATAAACAATTCGTAAAGCTGTCAGTGCTTTCAGTTTTGCTATTGATTAATAATTGTTTTCATATGCTGTTAAGCAGTGAACAGATTTGTTTTACATAAGTGTTAAAAGCACAGTAGCATAATCACTAGAGTGCAGACAAGTGTGCATTGAAGAATTAAAGCTTTTGTTTGGGATATGTATTGAATGATACGGTTAGGACTAAAGGATAGAATACTGAGATCTAGATTAAAGTTATAGATAGATATTCCTCCCAGGTGTCTAACAGAACTCTGAAAGTCCAGTTCAGGTATCTGTGTGGAAGCTGAATAAAAAGGACATGTAGTAATTGTCATGCAATCCAAACAGCAGATGATTCAAAAGTAGAAGATGCATCAAGCAAACTCTGGATTATTACATAAAACAGAATCATAAATTTGGAAGGCTATTTAGGCCATTGTGTCAAATCCCCTACTCGGCACAGGAATCCTACCAAATGGTTAACTAGACTTTTTTAACATATTCAGTTCACCACCTCTCTAGGTAGTTGGTTCCACTATTGAACTGCTATTACTTTTAAGATTTTTTTAAACATTTGATTAGAATATGACTTCATGCCATTTAAATCTATTATTCTGCATTTTGTGTAAGCAGGGCTCAGTGATATTAGTAGCCAGAGGGTGATAAAGCAAAGCTTTCCAGGTTTTACATGAATTGGCTTTAGTTTTTCTATTATTCTTCCTCCTCTTTGCATGATAATCAGAATAAATTATGTTAAACAAAGAAATACTATTTTGTATCATTCATTCAAACTGCAGAACTTGACTTTCTTGCATTTGAAAGTTTAGTTCAATTCAGTTTAGTTTAGTTTAGTTTAGTTCAGTTCAGTTCAGTTCAGTTCAGTTCAGTTCAGTTTATTGGGCTTATATACCTCCAGATGATACCAACTTTTTGACACATATTATGCATCACAATACTAAGAATGATCACTTGCCCTCTAGATTTTCAGGATC